AGATAGCTCAACGGTCCGCCAAAACATTGGAGGACACTTTCCACTCCTGCATAACATGACTCTTCTAGTTACAAGTACTCTGTTGCACTCAGATATGTGGCCACAAATCATAGCTCTTGCGCATACCTACTAATAAGTAGTTGAGGACGAATGTCCAAGAAGCTTGCGGTGGGTTAGAGTTTGAGCTTATATTTTCGCTACAGATATAGAAAGATATAGACGGCTTTGTTTGCAATTAATAACTTGCTTAGATACTTAGATGGCCTTCTTCACCTGTGCAGGCCACAGCACTGCTTTCATCCGTTTTGTCTCTCGCTAGCGTCATCCACGATGGTGGTATTGAAGTGCGGCGGCGACTTCGCGAGGTCCAGGTCCATTATTCGTCATCCGTGCAACGAACACGTCAACCCATCTGGTCGGTGGCTCCCTCGAGGACTTTTTGCTTTGCGAGGAATCCAATCCAGGTTGTGTCCATCTGTCTTGTCCTTCTCATTATATGACCAGCCCATCGATGCTTTGCTTTAGAGACGTATTCCGCTGGATCGCGATGACGGGACATTGATCTCATATCCGAACTGCGAACCTGACGAAGTGTTCGGTGCGTCGGTTGAACTTCAGAGGACGTCGTTCCAGCGCTCTATGGGTTGTTCGAAGAGCATTTGACATAGCCACAGTGTCAGGCCAATCTCTGCTGTGTAGCAGAGTGCAGGGAGACAGTTGAATCGAACAGGTGGGCTCGGAGCTCTGGGTCCGTAAGCTGGTCTGTGGCTTCCTTTAGGTCCCCAAAGGCGGCTCAAGCTGCTCTTTGCCTCCTGTTTAGTTCTTCTTTCAGATCGTTCTTCGTGTTCATCGAACGCCCGAGATACGTAAAAGTTTCCGCGACTGGAGAGCCTTCTAATTCTATTTCCTGATCCTCGCAAAAAGCGCTCTTCATGAAATGAGTCTTCTTTCGGTTGATTCGCAGTCCTATCTGCTTCCCTACTTCGCTTATCCTTTAGCATCGTCTCCGCTTCAGTGATACTTTTCGAGAAGAGAACAATGTCGTTTGCAAAAAGGAGGTTCGAGAGGAATCTCCCATC